TTTTTTTTTAGAGATCACATTAATTAATGATTAGAATAACTGAATAGAGAAGAATCCTAGCATTCACCTAATCTTATTTTTCTCATTTGAAGCTCAAAGCAGTTAGATGACTTATTTGACATTATATCACTAGTTTGAGAGAGAGCTAAACTATAACGTTAGTTTCATCATTACTAGTCCACCGCATTATATTTCTCACAAGAAACTGAAGAGAAGTGTGGAATTAATTCTCCTGACTCCTGCTTCCTACTCAAACTTCTGTCCTCAAACAATAGGATTATTTTAAGGCAGTGGGACCACTTAGTGCTGTGGAGCCTCAGAAGCCACAGCTTTAAAAGTATATAGTCTGGAAAGTCAAAAAAGTCAAGCATATAACAAATGTAGTAATATAGCTCTTTGTCGACCTTTTTTTATTATAAATATTTGTTCGTAATGTGTTCATGAATCCGTTTTGTAAGTTTTTAAAAATTCTTCTCCATCTAAAGCTCAAACTTGAGGCATTTTGTGAGTCTTCTCTGCCTCACCCTCAGGGAAGAAACTCTACTTTCTTCCTAGAAAAGTAGAGAATGTTGCTGTTGGAATGCCACAAAACTTTAGTAGTTAAGGGAGTGAAACATTTTTATAGTAAAACCAAATGGTATAAATGGAATATGTAAAAAGACAATACTGTTTATTTTTCTTTTAAAGTTTTCAGACACCTGGATAAATTTTGGTTTTCTGATTTCTTAAATTAAAAAAAATTTTCCTCTTCTATACTAGTTTGAAAAATGTCTCGATTTTAGTTAGCAAAACTAATATATTTCAATCTTTTACTTTTGGAAATGATGTACTTCAAAATGTCTGTGGAAAAATGGAATTAAAAGATAATATGAATCTTTCCATGTACTTTTTGAAGACATCTCATATTGATAACACTGAAGACTTAGGTTGAACCATCTGGTATGTTCCTAATATGCCATTTTGATGTATTTCCTCATATGTTAGTTAAGAAACACCTTAGTCACTTACAAACTAAACTTGTTCTGGTTATATTATCTCTGAT